AGTTACAATAATATTTATCATTGACATTGCAAAAGTTGTTGCACTCCATAGAACACTACTAACTACAGAAGGAATCTAATCCAGCACAACTAGTTTCTGATACTCAGGGCCAGCAATGGCAGCTTCCATGGCTTCTACAGGGCTTATATCACCTTCATTATTCAAGAACAATGTCAGCAGATTCTTAGAAAATCCACTCACCAGCGCCACTCCTTTCTGAGTGGATGGCACCGGGGTCGCCCTCGAGTCTCTCAGATTCCAAAAAACTATCTGAGGCACAGAAGAACCATACCCTTTCTCTTTATACTTCCTAGTGATTGCTTGGTAATCTGTCTCCCAAGGGTTTGCAGAAGCATGATCAAACTCCATGTCACTGAATACAAATAGCCTCTTAATCATCTGTTCCTCCTTGAGATTCCCATTTACAGCTACGTCCAATATGCGATCAAAAACCTTCTGGAAATCAGTGTTACCCCCCCAATCCATGTTCCTCACAAATTCTGTTTTGGACTTGAGATTATCCCCCTGAATCAAATGAAGCTGAGGCTCGGCACTGAAAGTAATAACCTTCCCTTTCCAAGGTTCCTCACTCAATTCAGACACCAACAATCCCAATGCAACAGATACCTCCATGGGGATCCCAATCATACTCCCAGACACATCAGACACAGCAAGACAATTACTCATCTTTCCTTTCTTGAGCAAATCCTCAACTATTCTCTTCCACTGCAGCTCAGCAACTTCCCCACCATCTCCATCTCCCAGAGACTCTATAATCTCATGGGGAAGCAAAGCACCAGCTGCAATAGTAGTCTTCCCTGTTTTCACATCTTCCAAGTACTTCTCAAACCTCTCTTTATCATGCTTCAAAAACTTCTCCTTATAAAACTTCATGGCCACAGAAGCAACCCTATTGTAAGGAATCAAACCCCATTGATTAGCCCCAATAAACACCTCAGGCAACTCCAACACCTTCCTCAAGGGCACCAACACATCCTTCCTCAAGCGATCACGAACCCTGTAAGCATAATGAGCCTCCTCCACACCTTCATACTCCTCCCTAGGGAAGATCCTCTTTGCAATGCTCTCACACAAAAGCGTTGACCTATCGAAGGAAGAGTCAACTGAAGGACACCATTTTGCAGCAAGACTGATTTTTGTAGACGACCCAGATTTCAAAAACTCGAGATCTTTCTTCAAGCAATCAGCAAAATGATCAGAGATAGCATCGTGAAGAGATCGGAAATCAGTGTCACGATTGTAACGTTCCACAAGCTTCTTAGCCAATGCAATCCTTTTCTCTTCCTTTAAAGCATGAGCGGCTTCTTTCTCAGCCTTAGCTCTGGCCACCATCTCTTCAGTCATCACAGAGTCTTTCGCTGTACCTTTCCAGCCTTCGTTGTCTTCGTCATTGTTTTTGCTTTGTTTCTTCTTTGTTTTTCTTTCACCAAAAGGAGCAGGAGAACGCTTGTTTTTGGATCCAAATTTCCTTTGAGTCCACTCTTGTTTCCGAATTTCACGAATCTGCGAACCCTCTAGGAGACGGTAGAGGATTTCAGGGAGATCTTTGAAGTAACCAAAGTCAGCCAGGGAAGGAACATTGGAAGCAAGGGTTTTGGGGTGATGTTGGTGAAACCAGAGAGCGGCGGCATAAAAGCCTTTGCGATCGGATTTGCCGGTACCGCGGACACCACGGAGGTTACAAACAAGTTTGAGGGTGGTGAGTGGGTTTTGGGACCAGGCAAGTTGGAGTCTCTCGATGAGTGTTTCAGGGGGAGTGTCGGGGACAACATGGAAGAAAAAATCGAGACAAGGGTCACCTGTTGAGAGAAATGTTGGTGACATGTTCTCGGTTAACCCCATCGGTGGTTGCTGGTTAGTTGCTAGGGAATTGAAGTTGGCTACCATTTGATCGATGAAACCATCGTTAGTGATTGTGGCGGTAGTGGTCTCAGCGGTGGCGATGGTTTCAGGTGGGGTGGTAGTGGGGGTGGTGGGGTTTGGTTTGATGGTTTCAGGTGGGGTGGTGGTGGGGTTGGGGTTTGGTTTGAGAAAGTAGATCTCTGGTGGGCCAACGAGAGTAGCGGCGGCCATAATGAAATGAAAGTTTGAGGAAAAAGAGGAAAAAGAGGAAATTTGGATTGATAAGGGACGTACTAGTACAGGTTAGAGAAGGAGGACGTGATGATCGAAGCTGATTTGGGTGTAATTTATAAATCCATGCAAATCTTAGTCATTAAGAAAAATATTATTCTCTGTTAAAATAAAATACGAATTTAATGGTAATGCATTATCACTATAAAAAGTATTACACATATATTTCATCAAAATATTTTAAAATACTAAATCATAAAATTTACAGACTCAATTGAAAAAATATAAAATGACAGTGCACCCTCTCTTTTTTTCATAAAGCAGTACTACAATTTTTATTATTACATATAATATAATTACTGTATAAAATAATTTATATCCATGGGAACTTAGGGATATTTGACTAGTTAAGAATATGCAATCCATGGTTAGTTGGTTCGAGGTTATTTGGTAGAGAGGATAATTATTCAATCTCCTATAAAAGAAGTTTAAAACTTTGATGTTAAATCTGATTTTAAACTGAATTAATAATCAGTTTAATGGATCGGCCAAAACTAACTCTAAATTGAATTAATTGATGATACCGGTGATAAAAAAAACAGAGAAATATGCAAAACAAAATAAGCGAATTTTGCACTAATATACCACTTATTTGTGGGTCTCAGTGGCAGAAAAGTAATTTCAAATGCAATGGTGGTTTTGTCTTTTACAAAAAACTGTTTTTTATTTGTGGGTCTCATGCATGAAAACAATGCTTTCTTTCCTCTGTCAGAGAAACCAAAAGATAGAAGCCGTATTTCAATAAACTTTTTGTTTTCTCTACTACGTATTCGTTTTCTTTGGAAAGAAACAAAGAACTCCACGTCAATTGAAGTGAGGTCCATTCTCTTCATTTTTTTTAAACTATTATATTAATTTAAAATTACCTATGTTTAATAAATAATAAATACCAAAAATAACAATTTTTAATATTAGCTAATTAAATATTAATTAATAATAATATCATACTAAATTATAATCACACCATTTTTTCATAAAAATTAATAATAATAAATAATAATAATAATACTTTTTAAGATAATTGTTTATCTCTCATATTCAAAAAAGTAATATTAATAATATGAAGTTTTAACATTATTACTCTTACCGATTTGTTTAATTTTTAATTTTTGATACATTCTACTATATTTTTATTTTTGTTTTTATAGATAGTTGCTTTCACTTCTTATTAAGATAATTGTTTCTCTTTTATTATTTAAAAAATTAATATTGAAATTAACTTTATGTAATATAGTTAAAATTTTGATTTGTTTTGCTTTTATTTAATTGCACTATGTTTAAGGTTATTTATACACTTTATTTTAATTTTAAAGTTATTATTTTATCATTATTTTTATTTTTTTATATAAATATTTGTATTACTTAGAATCATTATGAATTACACCTTACACTTTTGCTCTATTAAGATTTATACAAGTTTAATTTTTAGTACTCAGAAATGATAATTGTCCTAACTAAGTTATTCTTTTATTATCAAAAGTCCGGCTAAGTTATGCATTGTTAAATTGTTAAGAGTGTGAATGAATTTCGTCTCTTTAAACATTTGATTCGACTTTAACATAGTTGTACACATCATTTTAATGTTGTTCATGAGAAAATTTTATTTTTCATAATTTTCATTTTCACAAGATACATGTTACTGGTCTCGAAAACAATCTTCTAAAACTCACAAATTATTGATTTCTCTAACACAACCTTCATCGCAATTACTTCTACTCATGGGGGTTATTTTCTCACTCCCGTCTACAAGCGCTTAGCTCTAGGGTTTCACCACTTTCATTCCTAAAAATGGCTCTCAATCCCATTAATCGTTATTGGGTGTTGACTAAGCTAACATTGGAGTTGTACTTCACTCATCCCTTCTCAGAAGATCTACACCTACCTTTCTAGGTGAGAATATTGTTTATGTTTGTACTTATCTCATTTTCATACTTATCTCTCACTTGACTATCATTGTTTACAATCTCTTGCATATATCCAAATTCAATCTTCAAAACGGTTTTCTGCTCGATAGTGCGATAGTAAGTCTGATTAACATAAATCATCTCTCTTTTATTGGATTTATCTTTTTACATGTTGATGATTTGTACTTTGCTTTGATTTTGATAAAGGTACATTAAAAAACCAAGTGCGATATTGTACAATATCTCCTTTTGTTACTTTATATATAGGACACCCCTTTGATAAATATATGAACCAAGTCACACTTATGGTGTACCACAAATAATAATCACATATATTGATTTACATTAATAATTTAATAGCTTTTCGATACCACAATGCATAAACAACTTATTGTCAATTTTGTAATTTATTACTAATATAAAAAAAATAGATAGCTGAATCTATTACGTTTTTATCCTAATTTAATCTTACCAGAGACCTGATTTCATAGTTATAAACGTCAATTTGTGTCCCTAATTATATCAATATTTTGAAGCATTTAATAGCAATATATAATGCATTTTAAATTAATTCATTTTGTCTGTTGTAATTATATCATTGTCTCATGGTCCCTTTATTGCGGCTATATATTAAATATTTTGTCGTATTTAGATTTTTCAAAAATTACAATTACTATTTATCTTTACTATTGTCATGATTCAACGTATCAATTTATGCTTTTTTGAATTCTAACGTATCAACAATTTCCCTTTTAGATTCTAACTTATGGAAATATAAATCAAACCCTACACGCCTTTCCTCCATAGTGCCACAGTTTTCAGCCTTGCAGTTATGTAAAAGAGTAAATGTTCGACATTTTTTTTCTCCTCCTAAACTGATTTTTTTTCCAAATCAATGTCATTCACTAACAGGTTTGATTTTTTTCCTAATCTTCAGGAGCAATGTCACGCATATTCGATTTTGTGGGTGATATAGATTATTCTAAAGAAACATGGTGTTTAGTTGTTCGTGTTATTAATATATGGAGTGTCGTTAATAGCAAGGGCATAGAAGACATGGAGATGGTTGTAATGGATGTCAATGTCTGATATATTTCATTATATTACTCATTGTATTGTTTGCTATCCTAAATATTCATGCATTTATATTTACATGATGTACTGCTTTATGTCATACATCCAGGGTGATCGAATTCAAGTCTTGATTCAGCCTGACCATATAACAAAATGGAAATTGTTGTTGAAAGAAGATATGACTTGCGTGATAAATAATGGTAATGTGTACGACAATGATTTTCAATGGAAGTTTTGCGATAATATTAAGAAATTTGTTTTCTTAAGTGAAATCAACTGTTTCGAATGAAGAGGGTAATGATTGTGACATTGTTGGAGCTACAGAGTTTTCAGACACCAAGCTACACAAGAAAGTGAAGATAGAACTGAACATATGAAACAATGTTCATCCGTTCAATTTAGAATTTAACTATTTGTTGTTTCCATTTATTTCAATCGTTACAATTTTATTTTGTTTGCTTAAACTTTATTAATCGTTGTTTACTTCTGTTATGAACTGATTTGATGCATCATGTACAATACATTTATAAACTATTGATTATATGCGTTTTAAATTTGAAATATAACAAGGTCTTTTCTAAATTGTCACGATTCAATGTATTAATTTATTCTTTATATAATAATGAAGTTTTATATTTATAAATATTAAAAATAATATATTTTAAAGAAATTTTGATTATTTATTAATAACAACATGGAAATTATATTTATTTATATTTAATTATATTTGTATTGTATGTCCAGTTATCTAATATATTTGTATGTTCATTATTATATTGTTGAAAACACTAGTTTCTGAAAACGCTATAATTATGGCTGAAGGTTCAAACTAGATTTTTAACAAGGATCAACTAGAAGAAAGAGTAACAAGATCAACAATTATCAACTCAATGTATATGTAGATTTTTCAGATGTAGGTTGTGTTAGCCTTGAATTTTAACGCCCAGATGGAAATGTTAGGTTTTTGAGTTAAGGCATCATTTTTGACAGACAAGAACCTTTGAAGTTTGAATTCGAATTCTGTAGGGAAATGCAGTTATTTTCCGCCATTAGAAGGAGGCGCGTGGCACTGTTTCAAGTAATCAAAGCATGCAGAGTGACATTTATTTTAATCTAGTCCATTGAGTCATTGGGAGCGGTTATTTTGACTGGTTATAGATAATGGCTCAATTTAGGGTTTTGGGTGTGTTCGTTTTGTACAAGTCACTCAGAAAATTGCTCAAAGTATCCAAGTCAAAGAGAGAAAAGAGTTATAACTGAGAATGTATGTGCCGAAACACCATCCTTTATTTTAATGCATTAAAGTTTTTCTTTTCTTTTATAAGAATCTTCCTTTACTTTACTGCTTTTATGCGAGTTATATTTTCTGGTATTTACCCTTTGCTTCGAATTGCTATCTTCTTCACTCCAAACTGCTTTCATTTTCTACTTGCTTTATTGCCAAAACCTTTTTTTATTATGTTCAATACTGTAAAAGTATCTATCCTTCTCTTTTAGATTTTATTTGATTTTAAACTCATATTAGCTATGTCCTAAGATTTAGTGTAGTCGATCTTGCAAGTTAAAATGAGTCTTTAAGATTTGTTAGACCGGCGGTTATTCTTCAAATTTCACGGCGAACAAATTGGCACACCTAGTGGGACACTGCTAATCAGAGTTTCTTGTTAAAAAAATATTTTTTAAAGATCCCTACGTAAAATTTTCATTGTATGCAGTTAAGAAGTGGTAAGATAACCACTAATAACGAAACTCGAACTAAGAAAGGGTATACTAGGAGAATGGCGTCGAATACAAATCAGCCAAACACTCCTCAGGATCCATACAATAGTAACGATAACACGGAGCTTCCCGTGCCACCTTCGACAGAAGGGCAAGCGGGTTCTTTTTATATTTCTGAAGCGGTTCCGACTATGGGGACTTCGATGCCTACACATTTGAGTACTCATACGCAACCAATTTTGACCTACATTGGGCCAAGGGCCCCTCCATATACCCCACCTTCAGTAGGAACTTTCATGTATAGGAATATTCCCCCACTAGGGTTTTCGATGTCTTTGTCGCGAGACCCACCATATGGTGTGCCAACATCAGTAATGGCAAGCCTCCATAACGCCCCTCCTGTACACGCAGAACAGGTGATAACTTCGCCATTACAGGGGTCAGCATTTAGAATAAATGTGGGTCGAAACAACCAAAATGTAGGATACTTTGTCCCAACACAGAACCTATCAATTGGTTCTGCCTCTTATTTGAGGCAACAAATGGATGAAAGTAACCACCAGATGGTACAAATGATGCCCCAAATTATGGGAGAAATATTTCAGCCCCTTATCCAAAACACTACACAAACTAACCAACAACTGGCAGCGCAAATGACGCGCTTAGTTGATTTTTTGGGATACCAAATCCTCCTCAACACCTACAAAGGGAACATGTGAGAGAAAATCAAGGATTAGCCTTCGAAGAGGACCTCACTATTAAACAAGCCCAACAACACCCATGGAACGTACCCCAGGAAAATAATCTCAATCATGGGATAGTCGAACCTCCTAGAAATCAGTTCCAAGTTCCCAGAGAGGAACCTTCAATGGTAGTGATGGTTAACAGAAACCAAAATATGGATAATGTCGTACAACAATTCTGGTTTAATAATGCAGTCGCAGATAAGAACTTGGATGACATGGTCGAAAGGATTATGGCATGAAATGGAGTAAATGTTGGCTTGCGAAAGCCAAACCATATGTCGCATTTGGTTGAATACATACTCCAGTCGGAGTTACCTCCGAGGACTAAGGTCCCTAAATTGACTAAGTTCTCAGGAGACACTACTGAGTCTACTGTCGAACACGTGGTCATATATCTTATTGAGGCAGGGGAAATAGCTAATTGAAATTCTAGTATGCAGATCTCAGATGTCCTAACAGATGTCGAGTAGAGATCAGAATCCTTTTCCACTTTAGTCAGCCAGTTCAGGTAGATATCAAAATCCTTGAAATAAGGAGTAGCTCTGAATAACCTAGATCCATCATTGAGGTACTTGAGGCCCACATGGTGTAAAGCCAAGCTATCTGGACCTTCAGTAGGTACTTTAGTAGAATCTTTTTGCCCTAGAGGTTTTGTTTTGCGATAAGAAGGGAAAAAGTCACTAAGGGTTGAATAGTTGATTCCTAATGGAGACAGTGGGCCATCTGTTGCACCCCAAAATTTGCCCTCACAATACAAGACTTTGTGTTCTAAGAAGGTTCACAAGGTTCACAAGTTTCTCACCTGTTGTTAAATCACCATATTCTTGGAGTATGTGCTGCTGTTATACTTTGGAGATCTCCCATCGATGGTTGTATCCTGTCCCCGTGGAGTCCCACTTCGTTGAGTCTGTTACTCATTTGTTTCTCGCATGCCGTGAATCATGTCTAGTGCATTTTAGTTGCTAAAGGGAAAAATGGTCATTCTCACGTTGTTGCTGATAATTTTTGAAGATGAGCTGTTGCCGTTTTTTTTTTAGGTCGAGATACGATGGGCCGAGTCTCTGTCACCAGTGGATTTCTGAGACATTCATTCGTCACATGGTTTGATTATATTGAGGTGTCAATTTGGTTTGGTTCATGGTATTGAATTTATTCATCAAAAACACAATTGGATTTTTTGGCACCGAGTATATTTCTGCTTTACTGTCGAGGGATTTTCTCTGTTCTTCCTGTCTATTTTAAGTCGTTCAAGGCCCTTCCCGATTCTATCATCAAGTGCGACTTAATTTAGAATATATTGGGGGAAATTAAGGTTATATCAGTTGTGTGAGCAATATGTATTGGAGTGACAAGGTTCGATTTGAGTGATTGTCAGATTTTTATTTATGCTGAATTTATATGGTGAAATTGAGATTATTGTTCAAGTTGGATCAGATTAATTTCAACCGGTGGATCTTATTAGAGGTTATTTGATCAGTAAGGTTTAATCGGATATTTGATGGAGCAGTCAGGTTGCGACAAAATCAAGATCATGAAAAGAATAATCGGAAAGTAACTAGGATAGAAAATATATTGAACTTTATTCACAATATTTTTTAGTACAAAGAGGAATTAAAATTGGAATATTTTTGAATTTATTCATAAATATTTACAATTTACAAAAGGAGAGTAAAGTACATTTCATCCTAATTTCTAAAGTCCCAATTTCTCTAAAGGTCTTCAATGCTTGATTTCTCGATTAATCTTTCGTACGCGGCTCTTTTCTTCACACCTGCACAAACAAAGCAAAATAGAACAATGGATTAAAGTTAGACGGTTATTGTGACACCCTCAGAAAAGTCACTCATCACCGGGTGTCGGGAGGGCACGACTAATGCCGAAACCAAACTCCCATGTCCATTTCTCGATCCCGGCTACCAACCGGCAGCCTCTGTTCTATAGTTTTAAACGGGACAGCCGAGAAAGAGAAAGAGTAAAAAGAAGCGCGAGCCGAAATGATTTTGCCGAAAAGTGGTGATATGCCGAAATTGGATTCGTGAAGCCTAACTGATTACAATACGGATTTTCTATCAAGTAAATATCAAATCCAATCCGAATTCAGACCCAGATGCCAATAGATCTGAACCGGTTCCAAAAATATCCAACACCTGAAATACCAGAAGCAGATCAGTATCAAAAAAAACCAAGTTAGATTATCAAATCCAAACGGTATCAGGAAGATCAGTTCATATCAGAACGAGTCCATCATCACTAACACAATAACAGGTAGCAGTAACAGCGGCATGATGGGAAATATTTCAACAAACAAGAGCAACGACTGCATTGGCAAAGGACAACACCAGCATAGCAGGCAAGCTCGTGCAAACATCAATAACAAGTATTTCAACAATTCATAACAATCATGACAAAGGAATTTCCACACCATCGGAAACCACCGCAACGGTAGTAAGCCAACGCATCGGTGGCAGTAGCAAATACTTCCATATCAACATCAACATTTCAGCTGCAAACAACAAAAGGTTTTTCTTCGCATCAGCAAGCATCAACGTCTCAGCAGCGGCAAGCAAGTATTTTCGTGTCATCTACAAGCATTTGCAAGTATCAACACCAGTTCAACACCTCCAAGTCAATTGCAAGAAAAACATCCACAACAGCAGTACATCAAATACCAACCTCAAGCACCAAGCATGCCAGCTGCGAACAACAATAGCAAATATCAGTTGCAAGCAAGCTACAGTTAACAATAGAAATATCAATAATCTCGGTTCATCATCTGCAGCAACAACAACATATTGACCATCAAAGCAATTCGAGGTCCAAGAGT